GTTGGAGCAGAATCCCAGCCACGTCGCTCCGACTTAAGAATTGGCATGTAGGCTGGCGTCCGCTTGTAGTAACCCTGCAGGTCAACATGAGGCCATAATTCATGTCTTAACTTAATTTATATATCCATCTGATTTGCCCTGATCTTAAAGCAAATAAAAAATGTCTAATAAAATGACAATATTTTATTTTATTCCGATTTAGAAAAAATAAAAAAATATCTTTTGGCTTTTTCACTCAAAAAAACAAAACAAACAACATTCTATAAGGAAGGTATACACTACCCACTAATATACAGCAGAGGTATTTTGAATTTTACAAGTTGCCATTTTTTTTAACCTATTTTACAGCTATTACCTAAAGCATCACAGCACACTATCAGCCCTAAAGGTTCTCCTACCTGTGAGGTCATTCCACACCAGAAGTTAGAGTACGCAGTTCTGGAATCCATCATAGGAGCTACAATGGTCTTATTCTCCTTCATCATCTTCCACAACACATCCTGGTTAATGAGCAGGTTGTCACAGTCAACCACCTGCAGGAAGAGGAGGAAACTACATTATTTATAATTACCCTGAGCCTGGCCCTGCACTTGAAGAGTCACCTATTGACAATAAAGGAATGACTAGGCCACAGAAAAAAGGGGTTTGATTCCAGAAATCACTGGAAAATTAAACTATGTGTAATGTTGTGTAATGGTAAAACTGGTCACAACAGGACCTTACAAAGAAAGTAAACTTTCCTCACCCTCATATCCACCACATTCTATATTATCAATTTCTCCAAATGTGATCAAAATTGGAGAGACACCTCAATGTTGTTCTGATGACATGCCTAACTCAAATCCATAACAGTATCAGCTTTTAATATTTACCTCTTTCGGTGAACAACATGGTAAACACCTTGAGACTTCCAGTGAGTAAGTGCCTTCTTCTCCTGGGCATGTTTTTTTTAATACTAAACCTAATCTTTTCAGGGAAGTTACATTGTATCACACTGAAACCATAGCATATGTCCAAGAGGCGCTGCCCTCATAAAAAGCACTAAATCACCTAAGATCTTTCTGATTTTTCATTTGAGAAGTTACATTTGAATAGGGTTGCGAACTGGAAATGTACTGATGACATGTGTTCTCCATTCACTGGTTTACGCAATCAAAATGCTCTGATAACCACGAACCAGCAGGTAGTCTGCCCAGATCTCACGGGCGGTGTCCAGTGCTGCCTGACGGAGCTTCATGACATGTTCATAGCGAAGACCATTCCAGTGTTTCGGGCCTGTCTCATTCTCAAAGGCACTGAAACAAACACAGATTATTCATTATTCTTAACATTAACTTATAATCTCACACATGTACACAGACACACACACATTACCTGGGTTCTTCAGCAGGTCTCCACTCCACATAATGGTAGTAGTTCTGCACATTGACCAGCCATTCTCTGAGTATGGCTGTGGTGTTATCAATGTTGTGATCTGTTGCCACCCTGTGGACAGTAATAAACACTTGTTCAAGTGTATTTTTAAATTCTCATAAACTGCCACCACCAGTTACATCCCAAACCAAACTATAGATACTTTGGAGCAGAATGTAAACATGCAGTATATACTGTATATAGGAAACAAAATCATATTTAAAATATAACAAGTGAAACAGAGATTAAATGAGAAGCTCAACTGGCTACATGATAGATGCTTATAGCTATAAGTAAAGATCAGAAAATATAGTGGCCACTGGTGAAAAACAGTTCAGGTGGGGCTGTGACATTTTAAGCCAGTTTCAGTGACTATCCCAGTACAATATTACAGAAACAGCAGGATAGCTAACATCTGGATCCAAGTTACAAATAAAAACATTATTCACTTCTATTTTCTTATTCTCTAAGCTTGTCTGAAAGTCATACTGCACCTAATTTTTATTCACATTATGAGCAATTTAAAAAAAACTGTTTATAGTATGTAAACGTTTTCGTTAAACAACATATCACAACTTGCTTGCAAAAGTGGCTACTGGTATGAGAGACGTGAAGACAGATGTGATGAGAAGGGGAGATTTATGAATAGATAAAACCCCTCTTGCATGTCCTTGCAGTGTAAACCCATCAGACACTGCGCCTGCATGTGCGTCTCTGCTGCTGCTTGCCAAATATTTCATCTCTTCTTGTCATGCTGAAAAACGCAGATAGCACGCAGGAAGGTAGGGCCTCACTTTCTGTATATGCTGTCATTTCTACTGTAGGCTTTTATTGAAATAAAAATACGTATAAAAACTTTCTTCCAAATCTTTCACTGAAGAGAAAGTAATGTCTCATATATATATATATATGAAATTCAAACTATTTGGAAAATGTTTACTAGAACTTTAGTTGGTTTAGGGAGACACACAGACAGTTATCACACTAAACATGTTCAGCTCAGTTCAAATTTTGGAACAAACAAGTGTTTCTACAACACACAAAACAACTGACACACGTAACTGACAGATGGGACACGAATAAAGTAATGGCTAGATAAAGCCTTTTGTTGACCAAGAGATGTATTATCAGTAATCATTCAGGGTGGCTATAATAGTTCCAAACCTGCATAAACACGATGGATAAAGCATGTATTTAAATTCGTATCATATGTGCAATGCAAGCATGGACGTGAAATTACGAAGAGAAAAAAATGAAGCGGTGGTGGGATTGAAGACAACCGAGGGGCAACGAGAAAAAAAATCTATGATTGGATGGAACTTTCCATGGGCACGAATCAGAAAGTGCATCTATGGGCGACGCGGCGCCACGTCCTTAGTACCATAAGACCCACCTTCTTCCATAAATGCCACAGTTTAAATTATATTTAATATACCACAAATAAAGAGTTTCCCTGATCACCACGATAACACAGCAACTGCACTAAGTGTAACACGTCTCAAACGCATCTCCACTAGAATGGCTGTGGTTGTACTTAGACAGTAAGCGACCATTATCGTCAACGAACAAGTCTAGATTAAAAAGATTTGACATGTCCTGATAATGACACTCACCAAAGTGCAATACGGTCTTTCGGGTAGTTTAGACGCTCGATAGTACCGAGAAACAGAGGCAGGGAGTGCGCAGAGTTCCGACAGACAAGAGCGACGACGACCCGGGGAGCAAGAAGCCGAGACTCGTGGCTCCACCGCTCCTCGGGGAAATATCCTTGATTCAGGCCCGGCAAGAAAACGAACAGCAAGGCGGGCAGCAGCAAGGTGTCCCGCAGCATGGCAATGGAAAAAACTCTGCTGACACCGCAGACAGAGACAGGCGCTGGGTACGTTTAAGCAGAGGTTCCCGCTGTTGTGTTATGCCGATGTTGTTTAACTGGCGCAGGAGTAGGCAGCCGGTTTAAAGGGCAGGTCGGGGTGGGTTTTTTTAACGGAACAAATAATAAATATATATTATAAATATAAAATAGTTATCATACCAGATTACTACTAATAGGTTTGATTTTATTATTGGATTACCAGCACAATTGCCAATTTATTTTATAAATCCGTGTAGATTTACAGTCTGTCCTGTCGGGCGTCCTCCCCTTTAAGAATAGACCCAGCTGCAGTCTTTATAGGAAGGGCATAAAAATCCACGGGCGTGTCGAAGTATTCAATGTTCTAGAAGTATCTGTCATAGAGTTTCCAGAAAAAAGTATATTGTATTTTAGCCTAACTTTATTTGTCTAAAAAAAAGGACATACATGTAGCAGAATATATTTAAAAAATACAGTTCGAGGGATTTTCCCCCTGAAATGGGTTGTTACAGTATGTGTTGTAATTTTTTAAGCTATTAACATTTGTTTGTCACTTTAATATTTTGAAATACATTCATGACTTTGAAGCTGGTTGTGTGAAATACTTTTGCTGCTATTGAATATTTCCAGCTCAATTTTTAATTTAGAATTTGGCCTTCTTGTCATTGTGCACTGCATTTGGTTCCAAACCCATGATTTAAAAAAAAAAAGTTTATCAGCCTGTTTTTCATCCATCTGTAGGTCTGTTGACAAAATTATTTTATTGAACGACACAAGAACCCGTTATAATTATTACAGGAAAACATTTTAATCAACTTTCTGATCAAAGTTTTAAGAAAAAAGTACCAAATACCAAAACGTAAACAACAACATAGAAAAATATGCTCATTTAGCATAAAACTAGACTATAAAACCCAAAATATCATCACATAAAAAAGGTCATTTTCACTTAAAATAATATTTTAACTTATAACTGACTGGTAATGATAGCTATTGCTATAGTCTACCTTTTCGGGAATTGACGTATTTCTACATAAATAAACAATGTCTTATTTGCTTCAGCACTGAGGTGTAAGAAAACTCCTAAAACTAAGAAAACATTATTATTTTATTTAAAAGAAAAAACAAAGTGGAAAAAACCCTAATTAAAAATACAATATGTTTCTGCACATGGGAACGGATGCTATGAATACATCATATGAGGAAAAAGGTGCTGGACAAAGAAAAGGTGCACTAAAATAATAATAATAACATAATAACATAAACAACGTGTTTATGTAATCAACCGAAAATGTCTAGGTATGCTACACAGTGAACTGACTGTCCTTCATCAACAGCTAACAGTTTTCATAATATAGTTTTACTCTATTAACACTAAATAATGACTTTTTAATTAAAGTTGTGGATTGTACATTTCAAGACTGTATTCACACACAAAATGAAAAGGCACAGCTCATTTAAATTACAGCCACACAGGAAATATTCACTTATTTTGTTCACATTCAAAAAATAACAGAGAAGAACATGTGTCAATCAATGGGCGTCAATCGTAACCTGTGTAATAGGTTTCCTGTGGATTCAGCATGCTGTTAAAACAGTACATTAAATATCCTATGTGTTTCAACAATTCCCCGTTAACCTACTTTAATGTTTTCATCAAACACTGGTTTTGTTAACGATTTGTTTATACCTGCATCCTTCGATACAGTATGACCCCATAGTTCTGTTTAAAAAAATATATCATTAAAACTTTTCACCACTCCAATGGGAATCACAGCTTATACGGTGACATTGATATGTTTGAACCCTCAGCGTTACCTACACAGTTGTGAAATAACACTTAAGAAATGCCTTTTTGGCCCATGTTACAAACACTAAAAAAATACATACAAATATAAATTGATTTTAAGAATACCACAACACAGGTGTAGCAAGTTTTCTGTTTGTTTGAATTTGGATTTTTACATTTAAGTGTAATAATCGTTGACACTGATAATGGTTGTCTATAATTGTCTTTACTGACGTAGTTACCACTACACGTCATCTTTTAACTTGTTGCTTCTCCTGCAAAATCTCTCAAGATATTTACCTCAGATTTCTTGTCATATCTGGGATATACAGTATATACATTAAATCATATTTATTCAAACTGGGATAGCTCTCTCTCTGGAATAGCTTTTTATATTTGGGATTCTCCAGTTTGATGTCCACCTCTTGAACCCTTAGCAAACAGAAGAACATAGTTAGTTTCTAGTTACAGTAGATTACATTACATGGCTTGGTTAAGCCGTGGAGGTAGACTGAAACTGCTTAGTTTCTAAACACATTACTGACGGATTCCGTATCAAAAATGGATGTTTAAGAAAAAAAATGCAAATCAGTGCTGTTGTTGTTAGGTCATGTAATATTTATATCAGTAATTTACAAAATTTATATTAAGGTTCATTGAGACCTGAAAATGTTGACATGATCCTTTACACAGTAATTGTGTAAAATTTCTGTGTGCAGTATGCAGTAGTAAGTCAAACGTTTTATACTATATTATTATGCAGCTCACAGTGGAGCTGTAGATGAAACACTATTTTTTAGTTTCCTTAAATAACATCCAATTCCTTTATCAAGATTTTGTGCTTTATCTGTAACGTGGATTATCGTATAGTGGATTAAAAACACACACAGTAAGTACAATATAAACAAATGGGACTATAACCTAAAGGCTGCGATAGACAAACACTTCTTGTTTACCTGTGACCGGCTGCTTGAGGGGTTGGAACTGCTGCTGAAATCTGAGAGCTTCTTCCTTTGTTGTGTGCAGATGCAAGAGAAAACATAGGCATACTCCTCTCTCACCTGCAGAGAGCAGCAAAATCCCATTTTAGGAAACTAATCTAACCACTAAATCAAGGACTCAAATAATTTAGTTTAAATAGGGTGTATAAACAGAGGTAACATGACTAGTTGATTTTAGAAAACCAAAAACTAGATGGACAGAAGGGGGGACAAAGACAAGGAAATTCAGTGATTAATCAATAGGATGTAGACCAACTGATAGCCAGGACTGGTCAGTTGTCCTTCATGCAACTGCCTTGGAATAGGTGACCTGAATGACTGACAACTTACACATCGTATTTGGGAAACCATACATTACAAAGGGTAGAAATACTGACAAATAATAATTATGGTACTGGGACACTGGGTTTGAAAACTTTGAAAACATAAGGTACTGTTTCATTTATTGTATCTTACCTGTTTCGATAGCAGACAATGCAAGAAAAAGATCAATGCCCCTTGGAGGCTGTTCAGTATAGTGAATATATAGGCAGCAACAACTGCTGTGGCGTTCTCTTCAAACAGGAAAGCCCCAAACACCCACATCAGTCCCAGTATGCACATCTGGGCTATAGCTGTCACCGTAAAAGCCCTGCAGGAGGAAAATGTGGGTGGATAAGGGAGGGATCAAAGAAGATAGCAAGAGACAGAGAATAAGAAAAGAATGAATGTGTGCTCAAACACAAGAAATAAATCAGATAAATGTACTGTGTCCAAAAACCCTTTTGTAAGAAGTTGAAGTGTGAGAGAATTCTGCATTTACAAAGGGCTTTCCAGACGTAAAATGTTTCTAGTTACGAAACAATTAGGACTCTCACCAGAAACCCTCAGTTTTATCTGTATTAAAGAACAGGGTCAAGTAAACGATACTCATACTCCTAGAAACGACATCTTCCTCCCAAAACATATTTCACTGTTCAAATTGTATAGAGAATATTTAATATACACACGCAGTAGCAGAAGGGGTCATCTTAGTATACTAAGCCAGGTGACTCAGAAAAAAAATACACACTTACTTCATTTTCTGCAGTTTGGAGAGGTCTGGGTTAAGGCTTGTGAATTTCTGGGCCAACTTCAGCACAGTGATAGTGAAGAAGAGGACATTAACAAGGATGATGAAGCAAACTGGGCCATAAAAACTCCAGATGAGGCCATCTTTCAGGGAGAGCCAGCAGCTAGTTAGAAACATATGCAGGAAAGGGTTTGTTCACATGGTCAAAGACATGGATAACTGTAGGTGGGAGTAATGCACTGATGTCATTGTTGACAAAGATAAGTAAAGTCTAACTCGATGTCTGTGTAGATTTTCTCTCTCTGACACACACACACACTCACTGCTGGTTAGTGCCATATCTCTGGGGTCTAATGATGGCAGAGATCATGACGACGACTAGCGGTGTTCCATAGCCAATGACAAACAGATAGAGAGGTCGAATGGTGGCATTGAACACCAGGACAACCATTCGGTAGAGCTGAACACCTTCCAGTAACATCCAGGTGAAGACTCCCAAAAAAAAGTAATGTAGCATGCCCGCAACAAATCGGCAGCCGCCCTGAAATGCAGCGCAAAAATAGAAGGAAAAGCAGAAAATATTGTGTGATACAGACAATGAAAATTACGAAATATATTTTGTGTAAAAGATTTGAAACAGTCCTGTATACTACTCTTTATCACACATGTAGTGAAAATGTTAGGCAGGAGTTTCTGCTGATATGTATACAATAAATAGCTTGGGCTTACTGTATATGTAAGACTGCTGAGAGAAGAAGCAGATGAAGCTTTTCTCTCTGTTTTTATGTTGTGAATATACTTTTAACATACCACAGGTTCAGTTTGTGAAATACCGGCCAGAAAAATTATGTCAGCAAGGAGGAGGCAGATACAGAGGTGAAGATGGATGGTGGTGCGTGTCCCTTGTATGGAGCGGCAGAACTTGAAGGTCAGGATGCTTAGTATCAGACACACTATGGAGATGATCAACCCCATTTTGCTCACAATCTGGAGTCCAAAAGGATGCTAGAGGACAAAAACATTTCAGATACTGTTGTAGTACACAGGACTCTTGGGAGAGACATAAACAACTACGGAAATGTGTTGGAAATGACCTGAGTGAGTGTGGCAGGGCAGGGCTAGTAGTGGTAGTAGTCACTTTAATGAATTCATTAATTAATGATGACAATTATGTTATTGGGCATTAAAACACTATTCTTTATTTTATTACTGTAAACATCTGTTGTTCACCGACCTTTATTTTGTAAAAGTCTGTTGCCTGCTGCTGCAGCGCACACAGGAACCTGAAGAGAAGATGACTGACCTCTCGCAAAACCCCTCCCCCAAACGGTAATTATTCTAACATCCTGGCTACCTTCAGCGCAGCGGAGCACTAACAGTTGTCTGCTGGTGTAAACACTGACGAAATCCAGTATAAACATAATTCGTTAAAAGCTAATTTAGGACTTACTTACTAACTTCTAATTCCTTTTTTTTTTTTTTGGAGGGAGGCGGGGGGTTGTGACTGTTTAATAATTTCTGAAGTTTGTGTGGGCAAGAAGTCATGTCTACATCAAACATGTGTTTATGTTTGTGTTTGTGAGTGTGTGTCTTAGTTGTTGTGTGTTACCTCCATGGGATAAAGGGCCATGAGAACAGCAAAGCTGCTCAGATGTTCACATGCACACACAGTGTGTGAGGTATTAGAGTGCTGTGGATAACAACCATCTGTTGACCAGGCCTCTCTCACACTCCAGTAGGCACAGATGTAACTCACTTCAGGGGACACGTCCTTGTCCTTATTGACAAAAAAGCACAAAGGTTGAATGTTTTATTTTGTAGTCATAACTTAACACATGACTTCAGCGACTTCAGCGAATGGAAGCATGGCTCTTAGTCTTTAGTAGGGTTACCTCTAAATGTCTCAGTGTGATGTTGACAGAGTGGCCCAAATGTTGAGTGGAGGGATTGGAGACAACTACAGACACAACTCTGGAAAAGATCTGAAAGGAGGGGTCCACACCGTCTCTTTCATGACCTTTGAGCTCCTCAAAAGAACCATTTACTGCACTTGTAAGGTTTTTGTAGCTCAATAATGCAGCCAAAGCAAAACCTAAAGCAAACCATAAAATTGTACTGATCACCTGGATGCAGTAAAACTTAGACCAATTTATCAATGTAACAAAAAAAACAAAAAACAAAAATGAACCTGCGTAAGTGCCTGTCCCGGTTGCAGTTTCCCAGTCAGTGTCAAGTGCTGCATTGTCAATGGTCAAATGATATCCTTATTAGTCATAAGGACATTGGATCATTCAGAGATCCTCACTGATGCTGGTTAGTGCCATATCTCTGGGGTCTAATGATGGCAGAGATCATGACGACGACTAGCGGTGTTCCATAGCCAATGACAAACAGATAGAGAGGTCGAATGGTGGCATTGAACACCAGGACAACCATTCGGTAGAGCTGAACACCTTCCAGTAACATCCAGGTGAAGACTCCCAAAAAAAAGTAATGTAGCATGCCCGCAACAAATCGGCAGCCGCCCTGAAATGCAGCGCAAAAATAGAAGGAAAAGCAGAAAATATTGTGTGATACAGACAATGAAAATTACGAAATATATTTTGTGTAAAAGATTTGAAACAGTCCTGTATACTACTCTTTATCACACATGTAGTGAAAATGTTAGGCAGGAGTTTCTGCTGATATGTATACAATAAATAGCTTGGGCTTACTGTATATGTAAGACTGCTGAGAGAAGAAGCAGATGAAGCTTTTCTCTCTGTTTTTATGTTGTGAATATACTTTTAACATACCACAGGTTCAGTTTGTGAAATACCGGCCAGAAAAATTATGTCAGCAAGGAGGAGGCAGATACAGAGGTGAAGATGGATGGTGGTGCGTGTCCCTTGTATGGAGCGGCAGAACTTGAAGGTCAGGATGCTTAGTATCAGACACACTATGGAGATGATCAACCCCATTTTGCTCACAATCTGGAGTCCAAAAGGATGCTAGAGGACAAAAACATTTCAGATACTGTTGTAGTACACAGGACTCTTGGGAGAGACATAAACAACTACGGAAATGTGTTGGAAATGACCTGAGTGAGTGTGGCAGGGCAGGGCTAGTAGTGGTAGTAGTCACTTTAATGAATTCATTAATTAATGATGACAATTATGTTATTGGGCATTAAAACACTATTCTTTATTTTATTACTGTAAACATCTGTTGTTCACCGACCTTTATTTTGTAAAAGTCTGTTGCCTGCTGCTGCAGCGCACACAGGAACCTGAAGAGAAGATGACTGACCTCTCGCAAAACCCCTCCCCCAAACGGTAATTATTCTAACATCCTGGCTACCTTCAGCGCAGCGGAGCACTAACAGTTGTCTGCTGGTGTAAACACTGACGAAATCCAGTATAAACATAATTCGTTAAAAGCTAATTTAGGACTTACTTACTAACTTCTAATTCCTGTTTTTTTTTTGGGAGGGAGGCGGGGGGTTGTGACTGTTTAATAATTTCTGAAGTTTGTGTGGGCAAGAAGTCATGTCTACATCAAACATGTGTTTATGTTTGTGTTTGTGAGTGTGTGTCTTAGTTGTTGTGTGTTACCTCCATGGGATAAAGGGCCATGAGAACAGCAAAGCTGCTCAGATGTTCACATGCACACACAGTGTGTGAGGTATTAGAGTGCTGTGGATAACAACCATCTGTTGACCAGGCCTCTCTCACACTCCAGTAGGCACAGATGTAACTCACTTCAGGGGACACGTCCTTGTCCTTATTGACAAAAAAGCACAAAGGTTGAATGTTTTATTTTGTAGTCATAACTTAACACATGACTTCAGCGACTTCAGCGAATGGAAGCATGGCTCTTAGTCTTTAGTAGGGTTACCTCTAAATGTCTCAGTGTGATGTTGACAGAGTGGCCCAAATGTTGAGTGGAGGGATTGGAGACAACTACAGACACAACTCTGGAAAAGATCTGAAAGGAGGGGTCCACACCGTCTCTTTCATGACCTTTGAGCTCCTCAAAAGAACCATTTACTGCACTTGTAAGGTTTTTGTAGCTCAATAATGCAGCCAAAGCAAAACCTAAAGCAAACCATAAAATTGTACTGATCACCTGGATGCAGTAAAACTTAGACCAATTTATCAATGTAACAAAAAAAACAAAAAACAAAAATGAACCTGCGTAAGTGCCTGTCCCGGTTGCAGTTTCCCAGTCAGTGTCAAGTGCTGCATTGTCAATGGTCAAATGGATCGGTCCACTGGGTCGACTGTTTCCCTTTCGAACAGCTATCACTGCATCTATTAACACATGGATTAATATGTAATATTGCTAATATTCAGAAGGTATAACAGACACTGATACCTGTCTCTGACGTGTTCATCTTGGTTTGGTTGTTTTTGAGCTGGGGACCAATGAACATAATGGAGTTTTCCACTGTGCCCAGCAGCTTGCTCACATCTTCACGGCTGTCCAGATGACCAGGTGACAGGATAGTATCTGTTGCCGTAAAAAGTTTCTAAAAGGAGATCAGTAAAAAAGTAGGTTTGTCTCCCCTTAGTGAGCAGGAAAGAGCTTACTGTGCATCAGCTGGATATTTGTATCCACGCACAGATAAATATTTATTTATTAAATGAAAATCTTTGTACTGACGTTGTCATCACATTAGACAATATGTACATAAAAGTAAAGATAATTAAATAAAAAATAAGAGAATATAAATTTAATTTAATATTTGTAGTGTAACAGTTAACACATCAAGATGAACAACAGTGAACAGAGCTTTTACCAAGAGCACATTTCAATTGAAAACACTGCCTTTTGCTTTGGTCACACATGTTTTCAGGTAATTAACTGATTAATTAGGACTGATAACAACACTGGCTTCCACACACTCCACAAGGGTTTAGACAAATACCACTCAAAACACACCTTTCTGAGGGTTCTTCAAATAGTTCATTCATTCTGAGGTTGGGTTCCATAGACTAAAAAAGACGCATACTTATATCACTTACTTTTACTTCTACAGTTATCGTTATCGTTAATATATGCCTGACTGTAAATTGAAGCCTCCACTAGAGGAGTTGGTATTTTGAGCTCCTGCAGCGCGCGCAAATAATAACCTTGGCATGTACTATGTGTTAAAACAAAGATACTTCATGTGAATGGACAGTGGGTTCTTTGGATATAGGAGAGCATCATTCTGCTCATGTGTTATCAGGTCAATCTTCACAAATGTAATATTGTGCAACTTTCCAGAGCCATAGTAAAGCTACAGTAGAGTTTGACAATGTGGGAGACACGATTGTTAAACTACTTAAATCAGAACAGCTTGTTCTATTTGATTTAAAAAGCATCTACTTGTCTAAAATGACACTTAAGCAGTGGGCAGACTGGTCAGATACAAATGTGAGTAACAAAACCCTGACAATGTTAAGTGTCCATTTAAGAAAAGGTTATGGAGTTCTCAAGTTAGCAAGGTCATGTCATAATAATAATGATAGTGAAAAAGGGGAACACCAGCTGACCGTCAATTTAACTTCCTTATTTATGTCAATGACATATATATATATATTTTTAACTAGACTTTAAGTAAAATGAGTCACCCTAAATTATGCAAGTTAGAACTTTTTTTTGGCAATCTTAAATTAACTCATGATTCTTCCTGAACACATGATTTACTGTAAACATTTTGTCTTGTGGTGTGAAACTATCTAGTGATAGTTAGATGTACTGATGTACGGAAACCAATACTGGTCTCAGGCTCAATATTTTATTTAAACAGACGATACCCCAGAGTAGCTTTTCACCACAACCAGTTTGACTGGCACTGTTTGGAAAGCATGCAAAGCAGAAACCATGTTTTTTAATTGAAATGCATTGTTAAAAGGAAAATTCTGCTCTGACGTATTGACAGAAACACAAACCTTTAACAAGGTTTGTGTTTCTATGACGATCAAACAAGTCTTCTTTGTAAAACATTGCTACGTGTGCTTTTTATCACATTTCCTGACCTTCAGTAGCGCATCACCGTCGGCCTTCTCTTCACTAGCTGAATTGGGATTGGACAAAGCCAGACAGCTGTTTCTCATTAAGCCTCCAAGAAACTGAAAAACAAAGGAAATAATGAAAATATTAAGTCTGCCCTACTCTAACATTTATATAGAACAATCCTGCCGTAAGGTGTTGTCACACATGAACAGGAAATTGCTGTTCACCGAGGTCCTTCGGTTTTTGGACTATAATTGACTATACCTTTTAAATAAAAAATAAATTCCTATTTAGGAAATTGTTCATTTTGTGATAATTAAGTAGCTTCCTGTCTTTTCCAGTAAAAGACAGGAAACAATGTTAGTGTCAACACAGCAAGTCAGAATAAATACAAGAGCACAAGTAAACCTAACATTACAGTTCATTCTGTTTTGGCTGCCTATTCTCAGTGTTAGACACCAGCCAGTCCCAGCTACCTGTCAGTTTGAGGACTGTGACATTGTAAATAATGACAAACCTAATATGACATTTTATCATCTGACCTTTTCATGACGTAGCATTACTGGAGGTGTTTTTATTAGTTGATTAATGATTTTACCTTAAAGTCCATTTTTGACCATTTTTGTAGTTAGAGTTTATATTTATTAAATGTATTGAAATATATTTTTCATGTCTTGGTGAATCAATCAGCTCTTGGGTTGAATAAATAATCAATTTGTTTTGTTAAAAAAACAAAAGACAAAAAACCATGATATTATCTAATTTAAATATCTGTCTCTCCCAGAATGACTTTTATATTGGTACATTTGTAAATTAGTAGTTTACCTGTGTGGGTCCACTTTCAGAACTGAAGAAATCACATTGAAGCTCTGTAGGAGACAAAATATATTTAGCATTTAGAAGAAGCAAAACCCTCACCATAATGATGTGGTGCATCAACCACAGAGTCCTATACTGATTAAATTAAAAGAGTCCACGCAAATCTGCTGACTGACAACTGTAGCCACTAATACACATTTACATAAGCTAAGTAGTTTGAAACAAGCAATAAAATAATAATAATATAGAACAGATTTTCTTTGGAATTCATTTCCTGTTTAGGTTTAGTGTGTGCCTGCACTGACCAGAACAAGGCATCCCCTGGTTGCCGTAGTTGGTGTATCCTCGTGGACAATCACACCAGAAGCTTCCGTCTTCATTCTTACACTTGCCTTTCTCTCCACAGATGTTATCTTCCTGACATTCATCTATGTCTGTGAAAGGACAGAAAGGATAGAAAAAAAATCTCTTTTACACAGTGGCAGACTTTTAGAGCCTACTTAAACATTTTGTTGTTGAACGAGAGTTTCAGCTGTGTAGTGAGTTAGTGAGTTAGTGATAAGTTCACTGGCAAACAGTTTTAAAATGATTTTTTTTTTATTTACAATTTGGTGAGTTAAAGATGGCTTTGCGCTTCAGTGCCAATGCAACACAAAAAATTTAGACTTAAGACTATTGGCCAGGTTCCTGTCAGAACAGGTCAAACATTATGGTTTAGTGGGACTCAATTTATTTGTATCAAGCAATTGAGAAAAAATTTATTAATGTTTTTATTCTTCAAAAAAGAGGAATTGTGAATGCAAAATGAAATGCAAATCGGCTGAGGGAACTTTGGGTGACCTCTTTTGGCGTTGTCCCATGATAAACCAGTTCTGGTCTAATATTTTACATGCTTTTCTGAGGTATACAAGGGCAATATTCCTCCAGACCCACGCAAAAAGGAATATCTTATCTCTGTGGAAAAGTGACGCAGCGCCCCGTTTTAAGGCCTGGCTCTCAGAGGTCACCAGTCTACTACAAATAGAAAGGATTCAACACAATGTTTCTCTCAGCTCTGCAACTTTTGATAAGATGTGGCAACCTTTCTCTTTATATCTGTCAAGAACTCTCTGTCCATGTAAATTCTTGATTTATAGCTGGTTCAGTTTGTGTAACAAAGTACGTATTAATTCTAAGATTTCCTTTTTCTTCTTTTTTTTCTTTTTTGTGTCTTATTATTTTATATATCTATAATTATATCAAATGTAATGAGCAGCTTGCTCATATAAACTTGTTCATCGTAATGTTTTGTTTTGATTTTGTTTTATCTTTGTGTGTTCCTTACCCTGTTTCTATATATTGAAAAGTTATAAATAAAATATATAAAAAAACAGGGGATGCAAAAAGAAATTAGTAAAAACCACTAAAGATACACATCAGATATTTTACAAAAAAACAAAAAGATGAGTTCTGGACAGTTTTAGATATTTGTTATTTCATACTGTAACAGCAATTTTTTTTTTGGAACATGTTATCTTAAATCAAATCAGATGTTAATGTTTGTCCACTAGAAGGCCACAACATACAACATAATAATATTACAAGGCATCGTTCAGGTACTTACCAAGCCTTCAGTCACAGATATACTAGCATACTAACAAAAAGAAAAAAAATCAAAAGGAATGTTTTGCATGCAAAAGGAATTATCACTCCATGGTATTTGGTCGTAATTTTACTGGTATTCAGAAATAAATGCAAATTGAATTGAGAATAAGAATGTAGCAACATAAAAGAAGACAGCTCTCACCTCTGCAGTCCCCAGAGATATTCTGGTTTGAAGTGTAGCCAGAAGAGCAGGTGCATGTGTAGTTCCCAATCAGATTAGAGCAAGAAGCATGACGGCCACAGATTTCAACATCATCCACACATTCATTGACATCTAACAAACAACACAGTAATACAACACAGAAACATAAGAGTAGTTTAAAAAATTCACTTTTACAAGCTTTCGAAGGCACTCACCTTGGCACTGTCCAGTTAGCGCAGTGAGGTTCACCGCTCTGTTGATGTTTCTAAAACCAGAATCACACTGACAGTAGAAACTGCCCTCTGTGTTGTAGCATTTGGTGTTGTTCCCACATTTTTCGGAGATGTCCAAACACTCGTCAATATCTAAAGAATTGAATTAAAAAAATATATGAATCACAGTAAACATGATTAATTAAAACTGTAAAATATAACAATTAAACTATTTGCCATTGTTCATTTAATTTAATTATCTCAGAGATGGGTAAATAAATCATTCTATCCTGGTTCCAGTGGAAAGCCAAAGTGAAGTGTTACCAGTGCACTTGCGTCCTTCTGTGTTGTAGCCCGGGGTACAATCACAGACACCTCTGCCCAACATACACAGCAGCCCTGAGAGGGAGAAAGAGAGGTCATTTTAATTCATTTCCTTTTTGATAAGAGTGAAGATTCTGTAACACAGATGCTGTTCAGGTTTAGGAGGTTTTTAGTTTTAGTTTTTTTTTTAAACAAGGAACGTTTAGCAACCCAAACCACAACCACTGAATTAATTTGTTTCGCAACCGTAAAGCTGGACAGCTGTAAATCCCCCAGGCAGTAAACAACCATTGGAAATGATTTAACTCAGTGTACATTTTCAGTGATTGAATATTTGATTACTGAAACATGCCTGATTTTATTATGAAATGTATTATGTATTATGAAAATACCTCTGACATGTTTCTAAAACTTGTTAAACTCTTGTTAATGTCACCTGTCGTGCAGCGTTTTGTAAATAATCGCATGCTGCACTTATCATTTATAGTTCATTTTTTCTTTTTCTTTTTTAATTTCCTGTGTAAAACTCTTCCAGGACACTTTGTTCAAACCACAACCATTTCAGTCATTTTTTGGGACCGAGTGCAGTGCTACCAGGTCCTCCTGACTGTGAACAGTCCCATGTCCATGTTGGCATCTCTCTGGGTTTCCCCCCTACAAACTCAATGAGGCCTCTGTTGTTGTCCACCGGGGCTGCAGCTCCAACAGTAACACCGATTCAGGAAGACAGACAATGTCCTCGTGAGATTGAGTGTGTGATTTGATCTCGCTTCATGAGCAGATAACCACAGCGTAACACCACAGGACACTGTTTACTGAAGAGTGTTTCACTATTACTATGAGTAACTAAGAAACCCATCCATTACAAAACTCTCCTTCTGTTGTTAGTGTTGCTTGTTTACCTACGGTGTGTGTCCATCTCTCTGTTCCTCTGAATACATGCATTTTTATTCATCTTTTATTATTTTGTAAATGGAATAGGACACCACTCAACATCCCAACACTGTCAAAATAAGAGATTTGCTTAAGAAAGAAAGTGAATCTAAAAAACCAAAACTAAAAAAACATGTGGTCCACGGCTATAGACCAAAAGGGTCACACTTTGTTTCTACAATCAGATGTTATTTAAAGAAAAAGCACTTCAACAATCTATGCAGTGAATCCGTGACCACAAACACACAGATGAGGTATAAGAGTGTTCTGAGCCACATGTGTAACTCATTCTACAGCGCCTTGTGCTTTTAAGTTGTTTTTTTTAGACTGACTTCTGTGCCACATGCCACCATTGCGTGATTCAGTCTTTGGAGTCATCAGCTTGTAATATTGAAAGATTAAAGACATTTACAAACTCATTCCAACCAGTCAGAATCCTTCTGTGTCATCCTCTGCTACTTTGGAGAACATGTGGATTTTCAAAACAGAGAAGCCAGAGGGGCATCATCTGATGTCTTATACAACCTTTACAGATAACCTTCACTTTGTCTTTTTTCAAACATGATCAGGTCACACACATTAACAAACAGTTAGAGACTTACCAAAGATGAGCAGTTCTACACCAATCCCCATGGTGAACGCAGACAATCTTCCATAAAGAACACCAATCAGTGCAACCGAGTAATTCAGAGTCTTATTGCTCAAAGTTAAATGTTGAAAAGAATGAACTTCAGAGTACAGTTCAAATAGGCCTCTTGGTTCCAGAGTTTAGAAAAGTAAACTTAAAAGTAAACTAAAAGTAAAAAGAGGAACTTCTTTTTGTTGAGTATGGTAATGTACAACAGGAAGAATAACTGTGCACACCAAATGTCTTCCTTTCTCTGATTCAGACTTTCAGCCTGAGCTGAGCACGCCTTTCCCTTGTCACCAAACCTTTTGCCCTCCCCCTCCGTCTCTGTCTTTCTCTCTGTCTGTCTCTCTCTCTCTCTCTCTCTCTCTCTTGGTCTCTCTCTCACTCTCCCTTTCTTTCAGTCTGGTTCTTTCTCAGGCCCGGCCTCTTCCCTCCCCTTCTGGTCTCCCCTTCACTTACTTGGGTCTTTTTCCCAGTTGAACCCTATTCTTACTTTATTTCTTTCCATATGAACATAACTCACCAAACATATCACATTGCAAGCACAAAACCCTCTCTGTCCACACTGGCTTTTACATTTTTTCCTTTATACGCTCCAGTGGCTTCTATTTCAGGAGTTATTCACAACGCTCTCTGGAGACACAGTAAAAAAAGGGGGGGGGGAGAGGGGGGGGGCTGTGACTTAATCTAAACAGCTGGGTTATACTCAAGTGCTGCCAGTAATCTATCTTGGATCCATTCCTCTACTCCCCAGTTCTCCTTCTACGTTGTCTCCTAAAAGCAGTTCACTTTTCACCCAAGTACCAGAATTTTCTCACAGACTAAAAAAGAAATTCCAAGAGGCCGAGAAGATGACCTGGATGACTGAGAACTGGTAACCAATGTAGAAAGCACTGAGCTAATACTATGGACTCAGTAAGTAATGGCTGCAGATGAAAGTTCATGGAACCAGTCATGGAAATGTAAGATGGAAATGTAATATGTTAGACTTTTCTCTCCAGAATGGATGTATTCTGGCAAACACACAGTAGTCTGATCTGATCGGTCACACACCAGTTGTTTAGACCCCATTACTATGAGGCAGAACAAGCACAGGCTTTTTGTTTGTGGGTTTGTTTGTTTTAGATGTGAGGTTGGTGAACTTCGATCAGTTGTAGCAGGACCAAATCATCCAGGTTAATGAACCACACCAGAACATTTTGACCAAAGCTAACTGCTACATGACTTTGTCTGCACCACTAATAGATAACCATGTGGGAAACATACAGTATGTACAGAACAAAAGTAGCATTGTCACTCCCAGACCTAGTCCTACACCTACCATCCTACCATATATATATAATATTATATCAATCATATACTCAAATATATAAAGAAGAAAATGGTAATAATAAGAAAACACACTCAATTAAAAATAAAAATAGGTAAACACACCACACATTACAGAAATGTTTGAGTATCTGATTGAAAGATACTGGGCAAAAAAATGTATCTCCAGCTGTACTCACTTCACCACTCATGTACTAAAAAGCACAGCCATGTTTGTGTGTGCGTGTGTGTTATTTTAAAGCTGTCATCTTCCTGGTTTTATGTCCTGTGACATTATCAAACTGAGACATAGTTTTGGTGAATTATTTTCTTTAAACACAGCGAGATATATAGGACTTTATTAATGCCACTAGAGCTTCAGGAAACTAAGATTTTTTTGTTAGCTAGAAAAGAGAGTTGTATTGGCCGGGAATCGAACCCGGGCCTCCCACGTGGCAGGCAAGAATTCTACCACTCAAGAAGGAACGCCATCCCTGCTCTTTTTCATGTAGTTACTGTAATACCTTGTATACAGAATATAGTTTTACTGCATCGTTTGCTCTGCCACAGACTAAACTAAATGACTGCTTTATTTAACTGATGTTAACTGATGTGTGCATCAGAAAATGTACATATGTTACTTCAATAATGTAATCACAAATGCAGTACTTCTCATATTATTTCAAACTGTGTGATGAGTGCCTAAATCCTAACTTGGGATGTGATCTGAAATCTTTGAACAGATCAGGGTTGTTTACTTAAGTTGTTCAAAGACAGACACAGAACCAACTTAATGTGTTTTCATCTCAGTATTTGTATTTGGCTCTCATGTACTTGAACTGTATGTTGTACTGACCTGCTGTGGCTCTGTATTCTGTGTCTTTCTTGTTCCCTCAGTATGCCTGTGAAGTGTGGGGGTGGAGTGAAGGCAGTTGTCTTCCCAGAAGGAATATCCTTGTAAAGATAGATGGACAAATAGGGTTAAGCTTCAGGGAGGCCACAGTCACACACACTGATAGATTTTTGGTTCTGGCAGCAGTCTTGAAGGGGGAGTTCTTAGTTTCCAATGTTCTGTTGCATTTCTGCTACTCACCCCATAACAGGCGTCACCAGTCCATGTTCACCAGAATAGTCCGAAAATAATACATTTTTAAAAACAACAGCTACTCTGACACCGCCTTTTCTCTTCCTGTTTTTATTTAAGGATGTTAGGCCAAATACCTTTCCATGGACTCATGACACCTTGTTTTGCCATAAGGCAAAACACTGCCACCATGTGGTATCATCAAATATAATTGAAACTACCGTAAAATCTCGAATAAACGGTCCCGGAACCAGAGGATTCTTGATTGAACGGTCAAAATCAGACAAAAAATGATCACTATAAGTTACTATATGGTAACCTAAATATTTTATAGATATATACTATATTTATACTTATTTTCAATCATTTTGTGCTATATTGGGTGCTTTTAGGCCGTGAAAAAGTGCTTTAAATTAACGGACAAACGGCTTTAACGTTAGTCCGTTAACTTGAGGTTCCGATATTCATCACAGTCCCAAAAACTCAGATAGACAGAAAACTATTGATTTGACAGACAGTAATACAGTTAGTCATATCGCAGTTTATTACAGTATTGTGGTATTTTAAGCTTTCCAAATGCAGATATGAGAGAGAAGTACCAACAACTACAAAATTAAATTCCTACAAACATATAATATTAACCCACTTGAGAAACGTCTGCAGCTTTCACATATTCAAAATTTGTTTGGATGTTTAAAAATCTTGCACTGTGGATTAGGCTGTAAAACAGACAAAGGAGAAAAGAGTTATTTAGTTGTTGTTTTTTTGTTTTGTTTTTTTGGTTCATAATGAGTTCATAAGCCGTGACTCACCTCTAACGTTCACTCTAGCAGTCGCTTCACTGGAGCCAATATGGTTGGTGGCAACACATTTGTACGTTCCACTGTCACTCGCCTGAACATGGCCGACAGTCAGCTTTCCATCTTTCGTGGTCATCGCTCCTGCAGGAAGGCTCGCTCTGCCCGCTCGACTCCACACGAAATGGATAGGATGAGAGCCATGAGCAAGGCACTGCAGGCTGAGGGAGTCACCGGCTCGAAGTCTGACTTGCTCGGGCATGCAGGTGGCATAAGGAGGCGCTGCATGAATATTAGCTATAAGTTAGACTTAAGAGCAAAAGGAATATGGGCTTAACCAGGAAATAAATTAAAGTCTTTTTGTCTTTGTAATACACACTTTTACTAACCATAAAATATATTTTGTTAAGAAATATTGTGGTTCATCAGGTCAACTTGTTATTCAAGTCTTTTTTTAAACTTGTTTTAGCAGCTTTTTTTTTTTTTTTTTTTGCCTTTTAACAAGATTTCCTCTCTTTCACTTTTTCCTGCAGTCTGACACACATCAAATCTGTCCAGTTTGGCTGCTCTTAATGAAAACCTACACATCCTCAATGCTGGCACTTCTTTAAGTAACATATTTCACATGAAAAAGACATCAGAGCTGACATAAGCATCTCTGAACAAATCAAGATTAGATTTTTTTTAAACAAACCTTTCACAGTTGAAAGTTAAAAAATTGAATTTTCAAAGTAATTCAAAGAATTAGAAAATGTGTTCAACTGTGTCCTCTGTCCACTTACTCTCCACCTCCATCTGTGTGTACGCCTCACTGTAACCATGTATATTGGTGGCATTACAGATGTACTGTCCTGAGTCTTGGCGGCCCACGTTGCTCAGTGTCAAAGTACCATCAACTACTGAGTGCTTCCATGGCAGAGGTGCTCGGAGTTTGGACCAGGAGATTTCAGGTGGAGGAGAACCTGAGGGATGGAGTTGAAACAAGGACAGGGGTTAAAAACGACAGGTGACGACGGGAGAACTTCATGTGTGCTTGTATCTTACCAGTGGCCTGACATGACATTGTGACAGTGTGTCCCTCCACCACTGTCATTTCCGTAGTGCTCACTGTGGCTACTGGTACTCCTGGTCCTGCCTCAACAATAATTTTGACTTTGACCTCTGTCACCCCTTCACTGTTCTCACCCTGGCAAATATAAATCCCTGAGTCCTCCAGGCGTGCTGCATCCCACTGAGGAAGGAGGTGATGCGTCTTACAGGCAAATATAGAAGAAACGTACAAAATGATTGTACCTGTAAGTGTTGAGCGGGTTCACCTGTATTGTGTTAGCATCATTGGTCTCTGTGGTAAAGAGCTGCAAAGTGGATCCTTGGCGTTTCCAGCTGAGAGTTGGTTGTGGCCTTCCTGTGGCACGACAAACCACTGAAACACCATGACCCACTTTGACATGCAGGGGTCCTGTCGGCGTCAGGCGTACTTTGGGGGGAACTGAAAAGAGTTTAAAAAATACATTTGTCTGACGGCCTTAAAACATATTTGACTAGTATATTATATTATATTATATTATATTATATTATATTATATTATATTATATTATATTATATTATATTATATTATATTATATTATATTATATTATATTATATTATATTATATTATATTATATTATATTATATTATATTATATTATATTATATTATATTATATTATATTATATTATATTATATTATCATCTTATTCCTTTGCAAGGTCGAAATGGGGGATGGAGGGGGGCTGGAGCCAATCCCAGCATTCACTGTTCCCTTGACAGTTCTCCATTCTGTCATGGGGCCACATATAGAGTAAACAACCCTTTACAGTCACATTCACATCTATGGTCAATTTACAGTGTCCGATCAATCTAATCCATACAGAAAGATCAACCGACGATCAAACTAGTGGCCTTTGTGCTGGGATACATGAGTAATGATTCCATCAGGGAGAAAAATAAATGAATGAATAAAATGACAAAATAGTGGTCGTCCAAGTTGACACGAACTGCCTTCTGAAATTTGTGCACTGCTATTATTGGCATTATGATCATTGGGGGAAGGGGAAGGAAGCAGGTTAAAGGGCAGCAGGAGAACAGGATATGCAGTGTTGTGGTTAGAGATGACTATGTGAATGTGTACGAAACATTAGGCATTAGGCATCTTCTTAGTGTCCAGAATTGTGTTAAACAATTCATACATGAGCTCCTCCAAATATTCTTTGTATCTGTATCGTTTTCAGGAGTTTACAGTTATTGTACAACAACTTGTTAAGAACTATAATGAAGCTCAGAGAAAATGAAGCATGATACAGGTGTGTGATAGGTAGGGAGGCAAGTGGAAGGGTTTTACTAAAGGAGAAAAACTAATACTGGGTACAAATAAAAATCACATCGAGGTTCTACAGTGTCTTTGTCTACACACACAAACAGAGAGATTTATAGAGATTTAAGTGTAAGGATAGACTCACATTTGACATTCAGCGTGGCACTGGCCATGCCACGACCTGCAGAGTTGGCTGCCACACAGCGGTACTGGCCCTGGTTTCCAGGTTTGGCGTTGGCAAACGTCAGCACGGCTCCATCAGGACCTATCTTAGCGTTGTCTACAAGAGAGGTGGAATTTTGTCTAGTCAGAGGGATATAGTGTCAAAGCATTGTTAAGGCTTCCTTGCCCTACCCACTGACCTGGTAAGGCTTGGTTATTGGCCCTTCTCCATTCCAGGTGAATTCCCTGGGCATCATTACCAACTCGACATCTAAAGCTGACAGACTCCCCTTGACGCACAGTCACAGCCCGAGGCTCCACAGAGACCACTGGTGTCTGGCCTGCCACTGTACAGAACAATGACAACTGGGATCAGGACACACAAATATGAGAGAGGCAACTCTGTGAACCTTAGTCAGGTCTAGAACTGAACCCTGTAAACAAACACCAGTACAAAAGCAAACACCGTGAGCAAACAGACAGATTCAAATCTAAATTACATTTGATGACAAATGTTGGTTAAAACATACAAGATTCTAAAAAGAAAAAACCCTAAATGTCTTTAGATGTTTTTTTTTATTAAATAAGCATTCGTCTTTACTGTTTTAAAGGTTCAGTTTGATTTACCTTTGAAAGCAAGGCCATAATACATTTGATGTCACCTTAGCAAACCAGTAAATAACCAGTAAAAACAATAGCATCTGATATGAATTTGATGAGACTATAATGAGTAACAACATTTGCATGGATTAAAGCACAAATTTGTACATTTCATCAATTCTACTACTACAATCATCATTCTACTTATAGTCTCTATGAAACAGTAATTTATGATATGTTATTCTGAAGATATATAATACAGAATAAATACAACGCTGCTCAACATTATGAGAAACACGTAGGTCTAAAGACTTCAAGCCAATAAAAAGAAATCTATTGGAAATAAAACTGGCCATCTCTTCCAAGTCTGTTAATGGAGCCGATGTTAACATTCAGTCTGATTTTTATTTTACCTGAAATTATTAGTGAACAAAGGATCAAACCCCAAAGTGATAAATCCATGGTGAACAGAAAACAGCTTCACTCTTACTGGTCAATAAAACCTCTCACTCCCTCTATATGTCTCTCTCTCTCTCTCTCTCTCTCTCTCTCTCTCTCTGGCTCTTTTGCATACAATCACTTTCAACCTTCAACCCTCAGCACACAGTTTAGTTGGATTAAGAAAATATGTTGTTTTAAATAAATGGCCATTGTTATATTGTTAAATTTAAAATAATGTTTAAAAAGCTTGTAAAAAGTCAGCAGTAAAAAGTAGTAGTTCACTTACTGTGCTCCATGTGCAGAATTAAAAGATTTGTTTTTGTTTTTTTTATCTCATAGATTAAGATGGATGAAGCAACTCTTAAAACTGAAGTTCACGGCAAGAACATTTTCCCCTTTGGTTTGCAGAATATCTTCCTCTTTTCAAAGAAACTTAACAAAGTCATTGTATTTACTCAAACTGAATTCCCACAGTCCTCAAAGTACATCACTGACAATGACAAAATTAATTTGGTTAAAAATATTTACCTGAACATAAGAGAGCCAAATAAAAATAGAAACAAAAATACAAATAGAGTTTCCTTTTTGTGGTTATTTTTGTTGGAGATGTGAATTTATGTGAATTGAAGAACTGAAGGATGTACTTGCTGAATTCTAGAATTACACTTCAAATATTCTAGTTAAAAGACAACTTGCACTACATTGGCCTATTGCAATCTATGTTTTTAGTAAAGAAAAACAGTGAGTTTTTTTTAAAAAAATTATTTTTGAAATATCTTCACATTTCATTTAAATATTATTTTTGAAATATCTTCACATTTCACACTTCACACTGAAAAATAAAAACAGTTTAAAAACATTGAAATGTTTAAAGCCTGTGGGTCTGTTTACAGATCAGAGTTTGTATAATCTCATGGAATAGGACAGAGAGCATGGAGGGCAAAGTTTCAGTTAGACGTGACACTACAAACTGCATGGGGCTTGGGTTGAGGAGAGGAGGGAGGACAGAGGAGGCGTCTCCCACCGTCCTCTCAGCTTAAGGGAACACACATTTAGATTGGCACAGTCAGTTAGTTAAAAACAATTACTATATGTAGTAGCCACCTGTATAAAGGTACACTACCTAGATACAGGTTATAAAGAGTTAATACGGACAAACAAACAAAAATACTCATTAACACTGTAATTATATTCACCTGATCTTAAATGCTCTTAGGAACTGTGGAACCTGAAGAACTTCACGGAAAAGCTAAAATCAGTTACAATCACTGATCTTTTAAGGAAAGTGGACAGTAGGGGCTTGAAATTGACAAGTCAAATCAACTAATTTTGACTACAATAGAAAATGGATTAAATAGGGAATTAAGCAGGTTGTGGCTTTTATTTTTAAAACGTGGCAGAGACAAAGTTGTGATTGAGAAATAATCAGTTTTTCAGACTTCAGAGCAAAGCGTTTTTTCATGTTATTGAATAAATTATATATATAAATATATGTATTTACTATTTCATACCTAGTGGCCGTAGGCCGATGTGACAAGTCGATGTTTTAATGCATCATAACTAGTGTTAAGGAAGGGCAAAAAGTCTTTCCTACCGATGGCTCACCCGTGACGTGTCGCCGCAATGTCTGACGGGATTCAGAGTCAGAATAGATTTTTAGTACTTCCTGATTTTACGAGACCGAAAAACTCAAGCAGATCTGTAAAAAGTTGTTAGTCCGTGGAACTACAACTAAGAAGACAGAGGTGAAGTAGGAAAAAAGACAGTCAAAGTAAGTATATATTTCATTATTTTCACACGTTTACTCACTGAACAAATGTTTTCCTAAACTTCAGAAATGACATGCGTTTAGTTTAGAGCGCTCGTCGCTGCTATTGTCAGCCAAGGTAGCTTGTTAGGTAGGTAGACGAATATGACTACGACTCACTAATTTTTATAATTATTTTATAAAAGACAGATAACTCGGAAAAGGTAAAGTTATAATAATGCTTTAAAAAAACACATTTTAAATCATTGAAACCTATTGAGAGCTTTTTACGTGTACTGTCAACGTCTTTCTCATTTGAGCATTTTTTTCCTTGCTTAACTGAGAACGTTTCGTACGTTTTGAGACTGTAGAGATGTCAAGATGTCAGTGTTTTACAAAGAAATAGTTGAATTATAAGGAGTTGTCAGTAATGAACCAGAAAATCTCTCGGGTTTGACTCTAGCAATGTTCTTTCTCTCACTTTTTCCATCTCTCTCGCTGTGTGTGTATGTTTTCACAGTACCCTATTATTCTTTAAGGGAAATCCCTCTCTGCATTTACCCCAATTGTAAAAGTGACACACAGGGGCAGTGGACTGATTCGTTTGTGTGTGGGTGTCTGAACGTTTTCAGAATTGAATGAAAAAGCCAGCTTCGGTGCCAGCCCATTGTGCAGTGTGGCTGTGGCTCATAAATAGGTCAATAATCTTGTTAGAAATAAAGTATCGTCTTTGTCTACAGGTTAGATAAACAGGGTAGGCCAGTGTTACTGCATTTTAAAGTTGGTCATGCCTGGAGAGACAACTATTTGCACAAAAGAGGGGTCACATGTTAGAATATACTGTATATATTCATACATATATACAGTATATATACATATATTCATATATACATCATGCATACATACATATATATATATATATATACATACATACATATACATACATAGATATATATATATACATATACATACATATATATAAGCAGAGGAGGCAGTGGTGTGGCGATCCACTTTGGTAACCTCTGAAGTGAATAGCCAAAAGAAGAATAATCCTGAGTTCATAAGTGAGACTCCTCGTTCAGAGTACTGGTTCCAGTGGTACTTTTGACCCAGTGCCACCACACTTTCCTTATCAGGAGTCTGTCCTTCTTTAACTACAGCGATGGTTGTGTCTGTCCAGGTTATTAGTAGAATGAGCTTATTATGAAATTTTCTTCTCACCTCCTTTTCACTTGCCTTGCCTATTATTAGTTACTGGAAAGCATCCAAATTGTAGTACTTGCTGTGTGTGGTATTCTAGTGAGTACTGTGCAGCGTCTGTTTTTTCTCAGTTTTCTGGAGAATGCCAGAAAACTGAAGTTTTGTACAAGAAGCTCTTCTCCAGTATTTTGGACTCTGTGTGCTGTTGTAGCAGCTTGAATTGAGAAACTGGGTAGAAAAGGAAAAAAAAAGTCTCATTACTGCACTTTTGATTCAAGGAAACATTTCAGTCCTGACAAATCCATCGTTACGGTCATGTTGCTTTTCTTGCTACCTAACCTACATCCTGATGTGTCTTCCTTGCTCGTCAGATGTCCTTGATGGATCATGTGGGTGTCCGGCCAATTACAGCAGTAGCATGGACCTCCAACACTGCCACCTGCCCCAAAGACTTTACCATGGTAGGACGATAGTTAGAGATTAAAGCTGTATGTAACTGTATAATTGTTCAGTTATACAGTATGAAATATTACTGATTAAATATTGTACTGTACTACAACTGAAACACTTCCCTCTTTTATGTAGATCAACATCACGGAAGATGGAGCTGCAGCAAACTTTACCCGCAGCTTTGCTATGAAGTCAGGATATTACCTCTGTTACAGCAAGGTACCAGCGATCGCTTTATATTACCAAGGGTACTTATGTCGTCACACGTTAATTAAGTTAAGGAACAATATGATACTGAATGGCAACTAGTCACATTAATTAAAGGCTTTCTAATTAGCGTGTTACTTAAGGTAAGGCTTATACAAGCTGCCATAACCATTTTTGTGCGTCTATGTCTGTCAACATATTGTCTGCTCCTGCTAGATATTTAACAGTGTGTCCTCCTCTGTTTTTAAGGACCAGAGAGGTGGAATGGTAGTCTCAGACATTCAGCTTCTCTCAGATAAAGATCCTGTCCCTCATGGTTACTGTTTCATCTCTGAACACCTTGAACCAAGTGAGTGGGCAGGCCAAGTTGTGTACCTGTGTCGACCCGATCATTAATGCATGTTCTAATATGTTTCCTTTATGACTGTGTCTTTAGAGGCCTCCGTTTCCAAGAAGAAACGCGCGTGCGTGCGTATCGTTCCAGTTGCAAGTGTGGATAGTGCTGTGCTGGATATTAAACTGACAGCCAAAAGCAAAATGATGTTACAGCATTACACATATGTAGGGTTAGTTGCATTGACACACACAAAATGTTAACTTAATTCTGCATCCGTAAAATCAGTGGTCTTTTTTCATGTAAGTTATTTAGATGTTATTTCCAATCAGCAGTTCATTAATTTACATATTCTCAACTCTGCCTCCAGAGACATCAATGGCTACGTGTTGTGGTGCAGAAAAGGACGTTTTTCTAACCCCGCTCCTCAGGCCAAACCTCGCAGTGTCAGCTTGGACATCCGCAGACTCTCCCTGGAGCATTCATCCGCACCTCTGCCCCTGAGACCCAGGTACATTTGTTAACTGCCCAGTAATATGAATCGGTTAACTTTTATTTAGATTTTTTTATCTTATATAGTTACATACTTTCAACGTAACAGTGCAGTGTGTGTTTAATCAGGGATATTTCACAGCCTTCCTTGACACCTAGGTTTGGATTCATCAAAAATACAGCATAAAGGGATTTAAAAAAAAATTTTTTTTTTTTACAGCAACCCTCCTCCCCCACTGCCACATGGTAAACTGAGCCAGAGACGTTACAGCCTCACGTCTAAGGACCACTTGGACAAGCCTGTGGACAGCAGTATTCAGGGAATCACAGGTATCCACCGCTGCTGTTGGTCCTTTTGGCGTTTTGTTACTACAGGCGGCTCACTAAACTGCTATCATTCTCCGCAGCTCTAGATGGTGTTCCCTTTTGTCTGCACCCAAAATTTGATGTCAGAGCGAATGGGATGGTACGTGCGACATTTTCATGATTGTTTTCTCCTCAATGCTGTCATTGATTTGTGTGTGCATCTAAAATGTAATTGTAAATTGTATGTCCTTTCTTTCACATTTGTCCTGTAGAATTCTCATCTGAACTCTCAAATAAATATACGGATCAAGTCTCTGCAAATGATTGAAAATGAGGTAAGTTGTGGACTTGGATTTCACATAATGACATATATCAGGTTATGTCTGAACAAGTCATAATGAGGTCAGACAACTAATACACAGTGTATTATAATGGGATAACACAGTGCAATCTTTCCACCTACATTCTATGTTTCCAACTGACATTGATTTAGTACAGACCTAATGTGGTATATGTGCCCAGATTGAACCCTATTTATCAGTGCAGATCTCTGGTCAATAGTTCGAAAGGAATTATTACAAAATAAAACACTCGCTCTATCATTCTTTAATGATTTTGTACCTTTCCTTGCATGTGGCTGCTGGATTGGCACACCTTTTAGAGTACAAGAGAAAGTAGTAGAAGTATTTGTTAAAAAAACCCCAAAACAAACAAACAAACAAAGTATTGTATGCACTGGTAACAGTTTTGAAGCAAACCATATGTCTGACAGTTTTGTCTGTTTCCTTCAGTACAACTACACATTTGCTGTGGAAGAAAACGCCTTCAAAAGGACCAGGCCAACAATGACCAAAGGACCAACAGCTCAGTGACTCCACAACAATGGGTTTTATGTTACTCTGTCCAAGCGTTCATGTTGGGCACAGATGGTGGACAATGATGCCTATATTTAGGTTGATAATAGTAAAACTGGGGTAAACTAGGTTTTTGGGTGTAAAGTATTTATCAATACTTAGTTAACTTTATTTAAACATTCCAGATTTCCGTTTGCCATCCTTTTACAGACTTTACACCCATCATAAAGATGGCAGTTTATCTTCATCACTGAGCCCATAGAAACGTATCACATAAATTGTGAAAAATGAAGATGTACCTGTCCTTCAGTTGCCGTTTGCTTCAGCTGTACTGTTTGTTACTTTTATATTCATGTCTTTAATATGTGTTGGTTACAGTTCAATTTATCAGTCCATGACTGAATATTTATGGGTGAACTTGGCTGAGGACATATACCGTATATATGTACATACATTTATGTACATATATATATACATATATATCTCCTCAGCCAGGTATTTGTATATATAGCAATAAGTATAGCCATATGAATAATACTATGTGCCAGGTTTGTGTATTATCAGAATATATATTGTCCGATGATGAGGTGGGAGCAGAGCAGTGAAGTGAAGTGAAAAAGTTGTTCTTCATTGTTAAACAATTTCTTACATTTGGATATAACTGATCCAAATATTTATGACATGAAGTGTTTGTAACATCGTAGCAATTAATAAAAATAAAGATTCTCTGGAAGAAAAAAAAAGTGACATGTTTGATGTGGAACATCCTATGAATTCTTCTTTCTGCTTTTTTACTGAGGGAGCCCAATATCAAATTCTCTGCTTATTTCCAATCCATCCCATCATCAACATGAAAATCTCAGCATCTTCAACTGTGTCCTTTCTGTTTTGGATGAGTGACCAGAGGTCGTCTACTAACTGGTACTTCTTCTTGTGAATTAATGTTTCATTCGTGTTTTTACTCCTAGGCCTTCACGTCTTAATGATGTCATCAATGTCCATAGAAACCGTTAGTTTATGCAGAAATGTGACAAGTCGTCACATTCTAGATAACTCCTGTAGCCATAATAACGCCAACAGTACAGCGACAAAACTACAAAGCAATTTCAACAAACAATTCAGCCACAGCTACAACGTAATGTACAATTACGATTTGATGTGAAATCAATACCATAATAACATTAATAATGTACAATCATAATGTCCATAATGTGAAATCAATACCATAATAACATTACAATTTCACTAAAAAGATGAAACCCATCCCCTGTCTTTCAGAGTTCAGTAAAGCAGAGTCTATCTTCTACATTCACCTTTAAATCCAGGACTGACTAAAATGCTAAGCAGTGTAGCATTTTTGTTCATCAACAAGAAATGTACAAAAATTAGCTAAAAAGACATTGTTAAAAAACAGCACATAACAGCATTGTTTCAGTGATGTTTTGAGCCATGGCCAAAGTGACAGTGCAGGAGTCAAGTAGTGTTTTCTGATGCAATAATGTGGCATTGTGCCAATAATATCAGATTTGGTCGTTTGTTTTGAACTTTCTCAGCAGCAAGTCTGTCTCTGTGAAAAACGTATCAATCCCCTTCCAGCATCCGTTACCTTCATCTTGACTGTAGAGCAGAAGAGCAGCCACCTGTTACATCATCTCATCGTGTCCCCAGTCTGTTGGACATCTGCAGAGAGGTGTTTACTTATTTGCCTCTTCTGAGGTTGGCTTCGTCTATAGCAGAACCAAAAAAGGAAAAAACTAACTTAACGACACAGTTAAACATTAGAACACCTTATGATGTCATCATTTTCCTCATAGAACTCTATTGACTTTAAAACCAGTGTCTTACTTGCATAGTCCTCAGGGGTCATGGTTTGAGAGATGACCTTTCTGAATGCCTCCAGCCACTCCCTCTGCTCCTGCTCCTGCTCACACATAAAGACAAACTGTCGGCCTGGAGTCTCCAGGGTGATGCCGCAGTGCCACTGTCCTCCCTTTGTGCTCCTGCTGCAGCTTCTCTCCGACACTGAGTAACCATAGCTCTCCATGCCTATAAAGACAGTCCCCAGTTCTGTGGCATCCTTCGGTGTGGACAAAAAGTACAGGGATGTGGTTACTGAACAGCAATTTGACAATAATTCACTATTTCATTTTACTTTACTTTCCATAAGTCAGAACTCACATACTGTACGTCAGTACCTGTCACTCACCTACAATAACACAGTGGTGACATCATAATCTAGGACATAAAAATATCAGAAGAGTCTGACTGACACCTGGGAGTCATAATGAAGGGCTAAAAGTTACCAAAAAACAACATGAAAGGAAGTGAATGTAGCACAATCCAGTGTAAGGTGTACAACCATGTGTTCATCTTCTCCGCTCGCAAACTAGTTTCTGTGCCAAATTTGTTCTAACGCCTTTAATGACTTTCTTTATAAATGCATGGGAGATGGCGCAGTCATTAACCACGAAACACTGTAGGTCGAGGACGTCAGAAACCGAGGACCTCCTCTATACTGCATTTCAGAGGGTTTATTTGCGTTGTTTATTACCAAAGGATTCTTGAAATATAGAAGCTTTCTGTTCATGGAGCACAGAGTGAACCATCTTTTCTTGAAAGGCTCTCGTAGCTGAAACAAAAACACACAGGATAGGACTGAGTAAACGGGTTGTCAGATAGAAAAAGGACAAAGATCAGATGTTTTTAAAATTAGAATAAAAGAGGTGACAGACTGTTGGTCCAGTCTTCTCCATGTATCCTTCCTTTAGGCAGTGTCGTGTCAACTGAGGTATTAACTGTGAAAAGAAACAGAGGTCAGACTATTGACTGAACTTCCACAGTGTTCATCATATCATTATCTAATGTCGACATGTGAAGAAAAACAACAACTCTCACGTCATTTTCTCGAAAAGTGGGGTGCTTCTTTTTGAGGTATGAGAGTCGTGTTGCACGGAGAGCATTGAATAGAGACACAATGACCTGCAGTGGGGAATCAGACAAAGGACAACACACGAGGAAGAGTGACACCTCTGTCCTCTGAATACACACAGGAACATGTGCCCATCTTGTAATGCTTTTGTTTTTCAATAAATGACGGAACGAAGGAGACACAGGTGACCTGACCTACTGACCCCACGCCATCATCTTTGTTTTCAACTGTTTTGTGAGTTTAAAACAAATAAACAAATCTTCTTACCTGTCCATCATCGTGGTAAACAAACAGATTCCTTATACGTTTGTCGTGCAGGTAGGATATTTGTAGGCCGTGGGCGTGGCCAACCTTCTCTGGCTGGAAAACTGCATTCAGATCATTCATACCGATGACTGCTTTTGGAACCTTCGACTAGTTCAATTGGAGAGGGAGTCAATAACTGAGTCAATAATGTGTTTAACGCGACACAAGATATGCTAGTTAAGCTAGTTAAGGGAAAGGTCAGTGAACTACTCACGTCCTCCTTAATAAAGTATCTGAGAGTGAGGTCCTTTTGAGACAAAAGAAAAATCCTTCTAAGAAACTGCTTGTTAACTTTGCCTTTCTTCCATAGCGTTACTTCAAATCGTCCTAAATCAGAGAAGACAGGAAAGGCATTTCAGGATCAAGAAAAAAGACTTGAAATAACGATGAGAACAGAGACGTCTTCTTCTGGTTCACCTGAAGCATACACTTGCTGTAAGTAGTTATTTTCTCCAGTGAACTCTCTTCTTTCATACTTGGCACGAATCCACTGCTCCCTCAGGACACTGTATATGCAGTGAAACCAATTGTTACTGTTTTCTTACAGGTGAGACAAAGCTAAAACATACAATAATGAATTATTTAAAATGTAAAAAAATCCTATTTGTGTCTGCAGTATTTACTCAGCCTTCATTCTCCTCTGCTGAGGTAATGCAGTACAAAGATGATACACTCCATCACTCACGTGCAGTCTTTATGTTGTGGTCGGTAGAAAAAGACTGGAACACACTTCTCAAAAATGGCTTTGGCTGCAGAGTTCCCCCTCTCCTGCATGAACTGAAACCAAAGAGTTTAAAACTGGAACTGGTTTACTAACTCTGGAATTATCAATTAGTTTAGTTCTGGTTTTGATTCTGGTTTTAGTTCTGGTTTTGATTCACATTAGTCACACAATGTTAAACATACAGTCAGAGTTTGGAGTGTGATCACTATGACCAGGTTTAATGACAACAGTGAACGATTTCACTCACTCCTGAAATCCACAACCTTTAGATTATTTGACTTTTTTAATTTTTTTTAATTTAATGTTTACACAAAACTAACGTTTGGTTCCATATGGAGAGAGTTAACCGTACACATCTGAAAAGAAGGGAAAACATGCACAATTCCAGTCAATTTTCAATACAGATTGACTTCATCCCAGTTTTTAATTTTGGCCCACTGTGAAATTGAGTTTGACACACAGAATAAACCTAACCTTTAAAGATGTGTCACACATTCAAGTTCAAAGAATCACAGCTGCCAGTAAATTGACCAAATCTATCTACAGATAATGTACCTGTACTAGTGGATCGTCCCAGAGATCCAGACGAATCGATTTCACTTTGCTCACTGAAGGCAAATGACGATGTATTCCTGCGCAGCTCAGACACACAAACACACCAAGAGTGTATGAGGCCCAGTCAGGCTCTGTGGACAATACAAATCACACTACTGACTCACACAGTCTTGAATGGGGAAGGGGAAATGCTGTTTGTTTTCACCTAACAAAGACAGGCTGAATATTCTAAAATGGAGACTACATTTTTCTTTTTTCAAATACACTCTGACATCCTTATTCAGAGACACAAGAACAAGTGTGTGTAATGATTGATCTGGCTTTACAAAGAATGTAGACATTACACCGAGGTCATATGACATCCTAGTGAATCACAGGTGCTGTAACATTTGGTAACAGGCTTAGACAATCAACAATGATGTGGCTTTGTGCTGTCAGCATATGGTAGACACAAACTATACAGTGTTTATGTTTTAAAACACTATCTAGTGTAAACTAAAACGACTGCATCTAAAATATTTTTTAGCATACTCACCAGGAGCACCACAGTCTGCACATTTATTGTTACCCGGCTGTCGCGCCAAATCAAGGAGGATTTTATTATTCCTTTCCAAAATAGCCATATGTGAAGGTTCACTTGTTTTAGCGTTGACTAAGAACCAAAAACATCCTAAGTATTAACCATATTGTGAAATATGTTCTACTCTGTTGCTGATACACGCAAGAGTCCCACTGAGCAGAGGCACAGCATTTCCTCATAAAAACACCACAATGTGCAGTATATTGTTCCCTGCGCAACTAACGTCCAGGTGTAAAACGGAAGTGATAGAGACTCCGGTATTAAACACACTGAATGACCTCCATGTGTCGTATGCTTATTTTTCTCATGTCTCATTTGTTGGAGTATGGTTAAGAAGATAAAAAAACGTACACCCTGATTTAAAAGAGTTTCAAATTATCTTTCCTCATAAATGAACTATTTACATCGGCTTCTTGGACTCACACAACAGTTTAAATGGTTTGAGTGAGAAACCTCGACCAGGCCACGAGAGGTTTCTGTTACGACACCAGATGGCAGCATACATGTGTTACGCGTTGAAATGCTCCCGGAACCTTTGTGGCGTGAGTGTGCCACACCGGCCGAAAAAACGCGACGGACAACGACTGTGGGCAAAGTTATTCGATTAGGAGATGTTTAGCTCAAACCTGTCGACTGTGTCGGCCGCCTGGCGATTTGTGTCAACGGTCGCTCGGAAAGGTTGGTGTCACGGTTTACATTACATTGACCACGTTGTTTAGCTTTCGTTTATTATTTTAAATGCCAGGTCCTCGAGACCGATTTAATATTCTAGTGCTAGTTGAATTTATTGATTTCCTCGCGTCATTTTATTGGATTTATTTATTCTACACACGAAGACTAGAGCTAAACGACTTATATTATAAAAGAAAAAATATGTTAAGACATATTTTTGATTCAAATGCCAGCGCACCGTTCTCGAGTGATTCCCAACCACTGGGACGCGGCGTATTCGCGTGCCGTGAGAGATCGTCTGTTGTACCATGGAAAATTCACTTCAAATTCACTAAATTGGTATTTAATTATTGTTAATAATTCGTCTTTTTATTCTGTTTCAATTGTGAGCAAATCAAAAGTGGAGATGATTATATTTAATTGCACATGGTTTTAGTGATATTTTGGCAGTGCATTGTGGTATTTTACTGTACTTTTTTAATGTAATGTGAAATATGTAGCTTATAAATGATTGGGAAACACTGCTCATACGAATACTTTAAACATGTATAAATATCCTATAATTTAAAAGCAAATGTTAGGAAATGGATGAAATGAGATCGTTTGTCTTCCACAGGTCAGTCTGGTCTCTTTTGTCGTTCTAAGCATGGTTTCCTACCCGAGCTGGAGCTGCGATTCCTTCAGTGCACATGCTGTTGGAGAAACAGAATTCCTGTTGCTGGATTTGAGACCCTGAACACACATTTTTTAACTCCCTCGGGACCCTGTAAGGACGACCCCGACAAACATCTCGATACCTGTTATACGGCCGAACAACGTGACACCATTCTGCAACTGCTCAACAACGCATCGCCATCAGAGCTGGCCTGCGTTAAGCTGCTCAAAGGCAAAAAGTCACTCAACATTGTCGATTACAGAATGAAAAATGGACCTTTTAAAACTTTGGAAAGTGTGGTGAACGTACCGTCGCTGAAGCACAAAACTGCTCACGTAGTCTTTGATTCCATCCTTAACCCAATAAGGAAGGAAAAAAAAGCTAGGATAAAGCTGGCAAAGTTTATCAAGCCAGAAATTGACAGGTCCTGGCTGGAGGTGAGGCAGTGCTTTGGTATATACAGATTTAATTTTCAACAATATCTTATCTTTAAAAATGTACCTACATATGTGTACACACACACATACATGTGTGTGTGTGTACACATATACATATAAATGTGTATATATGTACATATGTATGTATATGTATATTTATATATATATATATATATATAGGTGTATAAGGTGTATAAAAGCCTTAAGATTAAAAACATACTCTTCTGATGTTTTTATGTCCTGGATTATGATGTCACCACTGTGTTAGAGTAGGTGAGTGACACAGGTACTGATGTACAGTGTGCGATTTCTGAGTTAATGCAAAAATTGAGTTATGTTGTACCGTAGGAATGGAATTCCTATGATTATTCCAGTTTTTATGCTATTGGGGTTTCATTCACAATTTTCATATTGGAAAATGAAAACAAGAACCTCACAATTACTTTGTTTACACAGGATGCAAATTCCATTGTGTCAATAGTGTGTGGTACCAACAAAATTGCCTGGGCAAGTGTGGACCGTGGAATGACTGTACTGGATTGGCAACAGCTGCAATGTCCTAATTTCCTGAGTGGAACGTACATGGCGTCTGCTTACTTGAGCAATGTGAGTACACGGATAAACTCCTAAAACCTACGTAGTGCCAACTATAAAATCTGAAGAAATACAACTCTAAACAGTGTGACCTCTCTTTTTACCCAACAGGTTTCTGAAGTTGTGTCGCTCCTCCCATCTGCAGACTTCTACCTTATCGAGAAGCAATCATTTTCAGTACACAACAGCGCGTTGTTCCCCATCATTACTCACATGAGGGCAGTGGAAGCCATGCTGTTTGCTCTGCTCGAGCCCAAAAACACACTGTCAGATTCCAGTATTCCTCCTAGGTAGGGAAAAAAAAATGGTCATGTTATTCATCCTGTCTAAAATATCTCTCTCTCTCTATATATATATAAAAAGCACAAATCACAGAATTTTACCTGTATTTTTGTCCATAATGAAGACTTTGACCCATCACAGATTGGAAGAGAAGTGCACAGAATAACATTAATAAATAATATGTGGTGCATTAAAAACAATCGTAGACTTTAACTGGACAGGTTGCCTTGAATAATTTGTACCATCTGTGGTACTTTAATACATCCGTGGTCATTCAGCTGTAAGGTTTTAGGACAAAGACCTTGACCCGAAGGTCAAGTGGGTCATCAGACTGTTGAAGTATCTACTTCAATCCACAGTACAACATTGGCCTGGTGGTAATTTTCTTGTGTTTCCTTTTGCAGAGTTTTGAACATAAACCGAGCTGCTGTGGGACGCCACTTTGGACTCCTGGTGGGGGAGTCTCGGACCAGTGGTACACACATCATACAGCAGCTGATGATTCAGTCAGTTTCGAAGAAGCCTTCCAGAGTAAACTTTCCCCAAGAGTTGTTGATAAAGTACAGAAACCACTTCCAGATGGACCACAGAAGAGGTGGAGAGGAACTGTGTGACGCGCTTCTTCAGGCTGTTGCGTTTTATGAGCTGCTCAATGAATCTTCCAGTTAACACGGGGCGAAGACTGTCCCAGTTGTCGTCAGGTAAAGGGAGGTCCCTAGTCAATCTGCATGCTTTAGGACAGACAGGCCAAGTCCAGGCTGGGACTTACGGTAGACTGTGATCATCCCGCCGTAAGGCAGAAGCCCCCACCGTCACCCTGGACCTCTTCTATTGAAATCTAAATTTGTTTGTTGTAAATTTGTGTTCATTTTCACCCAATGTTAGTTTGATCATGTTGTGTCTGTATGCAAGTCTGAAATCAAGAAGTGAATTAAGGAAGTTCTATCAGTGTAAAAGGGAAGAAGGTACAGTTCAACCGGAGACACAGATTTCTTGCTGTTTTAACACTGACGTAATGAACTATCATTATTATTACAAATGCAACTCAATAACAACCTGATTCCAGTGTCTTCTGTGACCAGGAAGGCAGCACACAGCCCTGTTGATGGAGACGTGTGTTGTTGGCCAAACATCCGGTATGGGAGACGGGACTGTTCAATGAAAAGCTGGCGTTGGACAAAGCTCAATGTTGGATTAGATTCACTTCTTACTGTCGTCATTGGTGTTTCCTGCTTATACATATAAAATGTTTTAGCTGGAATATTTAATAAAATTCAGCAAATAAACATTAAGGTTTAGTATTGGCTAATGTCTCCAATCAGCAATAATTTGTCAAATGTTTTTTTATTTCTTTAAATATAAAAGTCCCCTTAGCCAGAGAATACAACTTTTAACAGGGTTTTTTTGACAATTAATGAATGTCTCCCTTCTGGAAGATAAAAAAAAAAAAAAAAAAAAAAAAAGATACACTGCTAATTTGGTTCTGCTAATTTGGTTGGCAACTATGGGAGTTTGTTGAAATAATGTATGGTGGTGATCAGATAATGTGCTGACTACAGAAAAAAAAACAATGCTTAAAAAAAATTATATGAAATGAACAAATGAAAGGGTATGTAAAATACACAGTACTACAAGCGGGGAAAATAATCCGCTTTGGCAACAAATGCAACTAAAACAAATGAATTGGACCTGAAAACCAACAATGTCAAGAAAAAGACATATTGCTTTGAGATCTGATTACTGTATAACAAGGTGGGACGATCACAAGTACACACTCTGAATGAGTCAATAGAAAACTGCTGACTTCCATATTTCCACTACTGTGCACTTGACACCGTGTGTGGTGATGTGCTGCTGGTTATTTCAGTCTCTTAGGTTTCAGTGTCATAGGAAAAAAAAATCCCAAAATGTTCCCTGGATCCACTTCAGTTTTTATCAATGGAGACTAAAAGGCTTAGAGGTTATAATGTAGGAATTCTGCCTGGATCGAAACTCTTCAAACTCCGTCATTGTCCAGGATCCAAGCGTACAGTATAATACTACTGTCATGGCAACCTACCAGCAAAACCCGATTTATTCCGGACGGTACTAACACAATCTTTACGGGCTTTTTGTACTAGTAACTGTGATGTCGACCAGTTCTTCCACCTAACTAGCACCAAGGGTTGGTAATGTTAATTGAAAAATAAAACAAAATAAAACACAAACGTGTCATCCACTGTTCCATCATCATCTGACGTGCATCAGTCTGTTAGTGCACTTTTTGTCCTCTTGCCCTGCTTTCCCCCACTGGAGGTCACAGTGTTGCCATTGCAGGCCCCAGGTGAGACCACGCTCTGATCCTGCTGCTCCTCACTGTCCGGCAGCTCTTCTTTGATCTGCTGCAGACGAGCCATAGCACGGTCAATGGTGGACGTGTTCACCAGGTTAAAGTCGTGCATGCTGACCAGATGCAAGAGGAAATTGCGGCAGAGTTTGCGTCGGATGATGTGAGCACCACAGTTCTGGACAAAAAGCATGATGGCCTGATTCATCTGGTTGTCTGCTATAAAACTGCAGGGATAATGAAAAAGAAGAAGAACAATAATTAGTTTTCATGGACAAACAGGAGCTAAACAGACATGTAATATATAAACTATTATCTACTAATATCTATCTAACTAGTATCTTGTTCATTTCAGGACAATGACTGGTATAAGGTGTAGATTTGATATTTTATACTAGGGGTGTTTGATTTTTAGGCTGATTTGTTAATGTTTTTCTGCTACAGCAGGAGCTTAGAATTAAAACATAAATGGAAACATTGCCTTGAACTAATATCTGTTAACAAAAATGTTTTTTTTTTTTTTTAAATATTGAGTGGGTAATTCTTCAAATTTGAAGCTAAATGTGCTTTTATTAACAAGGGTCTTTTAACATTATTCATGTCAGGAATACTGCTGCCTACTAAAACTTCAAACAATGAACATTTAACACCAACTATGCAGTTTTGAGTACACAACATACCCGTGCTTCATTACATGAAGATTCCATAACTTCATCACTTCCTTCTCTCCTTCGTTTACATCTGTGAACTCGTCCAATTGCTGCACATAAAAAACCAGAAGTTATACGAAATCAGTCTCAATTTTTAATTCAGCTTAGATTTAAAAACAACAACAAAAAACTGTGTTGTCAAGTTACAAACAGCATGAGGCTCGTTGGCAACATTGTGGCACTTAAAGCAGTGTCTGCATACATTCAGCCCAATTTATATTTCAATGTGACTCAAGCACTGGCTCCCCACCGTTGCAGTCTTCTCTCGGAGCCACTCTGGATCTCTCTCATCTTCACTGTCCACATCCATCTCTTGAGGTCTGAGGGGCATGCAGCTGTCACTATGGAAGTAGAGGCGGTTGTGTCCACTGACGTAGGTTCTCTGTTGCTCCAACTCTCCATCCTCCGACTCCAGAAACTCAGACAAACTTGGTTTGGTTCTCTTGGGCCTACAGAGGAGGGAAACTGAATGAAAAACAGAACTACACACGTGTGCACACAAATAGACGTGATCCAAACTACGTTTTTGTACACGTTTGTAACCATATGTATTCAGCTATGACAAGGAGAACCAGGCTAATACAAAGTCCAACTTGGCCAGAATACAAGTGTGGGATTAATTAATTTTGAGAGCTCTAAAACAATTAATGTTGTTGTACACAGACTGACCTGCAAACCAGTATGTGAGTGACAGCGGTCCTCTTGACTGGGCCGTTACGGCTGAAAGCGAAGCCCGGTTGACTGTGGATGTCCTGAGGGTTGCCCACATACGAACCATCATAGCACTCGTTGATGGAAACATCTATCCTTGCTCCCTTGGGATCAGGCTGTGCATACATTTAAAAGAAAACAATTTTGTACTAATTAAGACAGAAAACACTGGTAGGTTCAACCTGGCACTCAACCTTGTGAAATAAAAACATGCTGTAAATTAAAGTGTCCGGTCAGAGAAACCATACAACAAAGTCTCTGGTACAGAGGAAAACACACAGAGATATGGTCAAAAGGAGTGGGAGCGCAAAGAAAATGTAACAACCTGGCAGTGTGTACAAACTTGGGATGGCTCGAGCCGATACTCAGGATTGGTATTGGTCTAATGTTGGTTTAAGTTTCAGGATCGAACGTTGTTAAAAAAACAACTATAGCCTGTCCAATCCAGTACCTAAGACCACTTAACTCTGAGCAACACGTCGTAAACAGAGACACTATCACCTCAGCAACAGCAGCCAGGTATCGGATTAATATCGACAGATACTCCAAAATATTGACGCACCTTTAGTACAAAAGACTTTTGTTATTATATATATATATATCCAAACAAATTCAGTTAGCTCAGGTCTTCTGGTCCCAGATTTATTCAAAAGAATCAGACAAAGCGATTCATGGAGCGTTAGCGGTACGGTTAGGTCAGAGAGGTCAGAAGGAGAAATAGGATTCACAATTGAATACTGAGGGTCCAATATTGAGTGTAACAAAGATGGGATTGATGTCCTCGGCACAGCAAAGCCACTCAAACGTCACCAGGCGGTGAAGATAAAGTAACTATGAACTACTAATTTTGGGTCCTGTCTTCTACAACCTGTAGCTGCTATAGGCAGATAAGAGCAAAAACAAAGGACTTCTTTCTTACCACATAGCTGAATATAAAGCGGGAGTGGGAGAGTTTGAGGTGTTTCAGTAAACTGTAGAGTTTGCTGCAGTTGAGTGTGCACCACGGACAGTGAAGATCATCTCTGGCTTCTGTCTGCTGCCGTGTGTTGTTGTTGTACAGGAACTAAGTGAAGAAAGAACAAAAACGTCAGC